TAAAATACTAGTAGAAGTACCTCAAACTTGTACATTATGAAGTACTTCTTGTTCTGTGTGTATGTTACTGCTGAGTGTTAGTACTAGTTCATGCTATAAACACTGCTATGCTTGGTTCATGTTATATAACATTAAATCAAATAAATGACTGTATGAGTATGTAATGAACCCAGACTGGGTGCTGGGATTATAAACTCATCATTAAGTCTTTGTAAATGTAGTTCTTGAAATGTTTCTTTGGCTATAAACCTAGTTTGGACCAAAGCCACGAGACACGTTGAAAATAAGACTAAAATATAAAATGAGGACAGTGAGAGCGAGTTACTCTCTATAGCTGCTTTTTATTGATGAAATTAGTGTCAGTATTTGCGCGGTGCAATTTTAAGGTTCATGTTGGACAAACTTCTGACGTGATGTTTTCTTTCTCTGTCCATAATTCTGCCATTCAGACCAGCTGACTTCGCAACGAGCCGATTGGCTGTTTAAACAGGGGACACTGGAGATTTGATAAGCTGAGTCACAGCAACGCAGCCAGATGAGTGAGTCAAGCTGAGATGACGTCGCTGCATCGTGTGAATCTTTGGTCTGAAGAAATATTTATTTAATCACTTTTACAAGTTTTTATTTCAGTCTTTTTTTGGTGTTTACTTTTAGCCTGGATGTGTACTTTCTCTCTCTCTGTGTGTGTGTGTGTGTGTGTGTGTGTGCGTTTTACCTGGAAATGTCTCCCCAGTACCACTCGGCGTCCTGCAGGGAGATGCTGTTGTTAAAACTACTGGGAGCTGCTGGAGTCGAAGACTTGACCGGTTTCGGAGGCAACGCTGCAACAAAGAGAATGTCATACAGTTAAATGAGGAACTTCTATTTATTGAATTATCCTCCGTAATCTCAGAGAGATGATCACTTAAAATTAAAAATACTCCTAGGAGAAAGAGACAACCTTGCTTTTGCAATGTAAACGTCTGTTTCCCACACCAATAACGCCTCTTTAAACCGAATTTACAGAGTTGTCTTCATCAGTGTCAGCTTCTGCTCCATCAATTACTAAAAACAGAGGTTTTAATTCTCTACACGATCACCCTGGAAGTCTTTAAGGCTAACTATTTACATCAGGTGGGCCGATATATCGCTATGCGTCTGAGTGTTTGAGGACATTTAGAAACAGTTTGTCCATCAGCAGACAGGTCGATTTTTCACTGTTAAATATCAAAATTCCATTTAATGTTCATAATACAACCTCGCCTACATTAAAGCCTGACTGGTGCTGGATTTTTGAGATTACAGTGATTTGCATCCAATACATTTGTCCTGCTGTGTGCTGAGAGCAGGTAGTGTTCAATGGCTTTTTACAGCCTCTCCTCTTTAAGCGACGCTCTGTAAAGCCGAGAGGCGTTTCAGAATCAGCTGATAATTCTGTTGCTTCATTGCCGCCAGAGAGCCAACACAGCGTCAGTCTTTCAATAAAAATACTGATTATAGCTTTAATGTGAGCTGCCAACTGTGTCACAAACACAGATCAGGCTGGTATCTTCCACAGACTGCTGAGCCGAGGCGGAGGGATACGTCTTCATGGTTACATACAGTCAACAAACCTACACACAACCGACAGGTGAAGATCTACACCTGGTACCATGTACTACAGATACTGCAGTATGATGCATGATTAGTGGGAATTATT